ACTAATAAACTAAGCAATCTATTCCAGAAAATAAGTTGTATACGCTAAACCTATTAGTATCATTACTTAACGGCAGTCGTTGCTCTAACTCCACCTCGAGCTATACGAGCGCTATGTGAACGAATGCAACTGGCAACACCAGCCGATTATAATATACATATATACATACATACATACATATATATATATAGACAAAATGACGACTACTTAAGACGTGTGAAGTGTGGATACGGGTGCCATTCTATCGATTAGATATTTTATGACCACAAAATAATGCAAGTAGTTAGTCAGACAGCCACAGACACATTGAAGACGCTGAACCAACACATAAATTATTCAAAAGTAAAAAATAAATGCGACGATATATGCGCTTGTGGTGACTATAAGCGTACAGACAGCTATATTATGAAGCGGGGGCACGTTCACTGCTGGCATTCCCAACAAATGGGTGTGTCTGGCAAACAAGGCCGAGCGTCTGTTGCTACTGCAACAGCAACGGCAATGTTTGAGGCACGATGAGGTTGCACGAAACGAAATTACAATAATTACAGGCTGCTGAGGAGGCACGAGGGCGATGTTCAAGTATCCACAAGTAGTCCTAGATCGGAAAAGCTGCCTGTAATCAAACCGTTGGAAATTCTAGTTGCAGCAAAACGATTGAAATGCAATGCAATGTGTAAGTTGCAAGCTGCAAAATTGATAATTGCAACATAATTGACACTATGAAGAGCCGATGACGGCCAACGGGCAGGAGCCGATGCCGACGAGCAGGCATTTAGACAGCAAGGTAGATGGCGAGCGGCTAATTTAGGAAGTATTTATAGTTTATATACATATGTATGTACGAAAATAGCGTGAGCTTGATACTAGGTTTGTATGTATGTGTGCATATATAGTATGTACATATGTATATGGAGTTGGCGAGAACATGCCAATGCGTAATTTAGTTTTGACCTCTGTGATTTAGCTTGAATTCGAGGCAGTGCCTAGATACAAGCACACACAGCAATACATGTACATATGTATGTATGTGTTATCATATTTACTCAATTATTCGGAAATTTGAAAACGCACTTTGAGGAAAATCACTCCTGCACTCGTTTTAATGTGAAAGGAGATTTATCGATAAAAAATTAAAACTGATAATACGAAAATATTATAATAAATTTCAAAATAAACCGAGCAAAAATCGCAAGGCAACGTAATCTCCAGCGAGCGTCTACTTATGCAAAATCTTATGAATTTTTTAGAATATAAACTTAATTTTGGAACGGTGAGGCTGACGAAAATATTGTAAGAGACTTTCATTTTGTAAGACAAAGGCAAAAATTGTAAGAGACCATTTTTAAAAAAGTCTAACGGTGTAATATCACACGATCCTGTTGGCCAATCGAACGACTCAAAACGTGAAATTGTTTGCTCACTGTGTGAGCAGTAAATCCATTGACTAATGCGATGTGTTGGAAAAGGCGCCGTCTTGTTGAAACCAAATATCACCGAGATCATTATTATGGCGCGAAAAAAGATTGTCATTACAGTTACGTTCTCACCGGCATTATTTTTGAGTATATATGGACCGAAGATTGACCGGCCACACCTCATCAAACCGTTGTACTTTCTGGATGAAATGGCAGCTCTTGAATTTTTTCAAGATGCCCTTCGTTCCAAATGCGGCAATTTTTCATGTTAACATATTCCGAAATGGGTCTCATCGCTAGACAAAATTTGGCTCGAAAGCGTCGATCTTCTTGGAATTTTTCACGAGCCCATAGAGCGCAGCGATGTTGCTAGGGAAGGTCGAGCAGCTTCCGTTCTTACACAAGCTGTATTTTGTATGCTTTCAATGTAACATCAGGAGGCAAAGTCTTTCAAGTCGTCCTATACGTCAATCTGAGTGGCTGCGAACGATGCCGCATCGACTCTCTACGGTCTTCGTGTACCCTCTCAGTTACGGCTGCTATATTTTCTTCCTGCATGCTGGACGTGGTCTGTCCGGGCGAATATTAGCCAATAGTGCAAGTTGTGTCTCAAGATGTGTGATGCTAATGCGACTAGTACGCTACTGAGCGCTTATCATGTTAAGTGAACATGAGTTTTCTTAATCTTTCCTTGATGAAATGCCAAACAATACTGAACAAAAATCACATGAAAGCTTTACACGGCTCACGAGTGATCTAAAAAGGCTATTTAAAAAAGTACATCTACTTGACAGACGACTAAATCGACTCAGCTCGATATGCTCATCATTTATATATGTATATGTGACTTGGTCTACGAAAAGGGAGCATCTCATCTTCCATCCGAATCAATGAAAATTTATTTTTTGACACCTAAGCCCCCTTTCCGTAAGCGAAAAGCTCTTACGGAAGTTTCTACATGAAACAGCAAAACAAAAAAAAAAAAAACTCTTACGTTCTCTGAGAGTACTAAGGTTAACGAAAATACTGTCAGCCTTTCATAACCTTTTATTTAATCGTTCTCAAGTTATGGGCCTCAAACTGACGCTACCTTTTTGTTTTGTTAAAAGTAAGTGATTTTCATGTTTTGATAAAATCCCCTTTTTCTGTCGAGAAAAATACAATATTTATGCAAAGCACTGAGTTGATAAGCGTTCAACCAAATCCTTGATTTAAAGAGCATCTGTCAATGGTAAATTTTAATCGCTTATGTACAACGAGGCGCTCCCGCCTCCTACTACCTTTGAAACGTGAGTAAGTAAATTTTGACTATTATGTAAATGGTCACATCGATGAGAGCTCTTTGAACAAAAACAACTCTACATTCTGCGGTAATGTAGTGTTAATATAGTAACTACCACCCACAGGGTGTAATTCGATATCGGCAAAAAGCACTAGAATATAAATTCCCTAAAGCAAGAGGAGGAAAAAAATTAACTAATAAGTATATGAAGTGCAGACAATAGAAACATTAGTATGGCGAAATACTCCCGAGGGGGTGCCAAACTTGCGTCTCGTACTGTACATGTACCATAAGAATCAACAGTTGGCCAAATTATAAATCACTTTCTATAGAACTTTCAGCGCAAAATGTTGGTGCGTGCAATGGGAGAAATACGAAGCCTTAATGAAATGCCGCCTAAAGAAGTTCGTTCTTAAAAGTAACCGACGGAAATGACTTCAGGGCAGACAAGTCTGCGCCATGCCACGTTGGCTGTTGAAGCTTAACACAGCTGTGTATGTTTCGGTGCCTTAGGAAGAGTTTAACTGTTGTTTTGTCTTCGCAGAGCACCTGCTGGCTTACAAAATTATTATTTTTTAATTAATTAATATTTTTCGAAACGCAATTAGTTGGGTTAAAGTTGGATAGTTCGTATTAATAATTCTTTCTCTAGGTTCACAATTATGTGGTATTATGAACGTAGTTAAGATATTCATTCAAAATTTTGTTGTGTTTACAAAGTTAGCTATCAGAAAAATTCTGGGAATATTTATTCGTGCTAAGAGTAGTTAAGTTAAACTGGTTTGTGGGTCGAGCGTCGAAATTATGTATATAAGTATATTCAAATATACAGTGTTGGAAATAATAATAGAAACGGATTGTTTACATATAATAAATCTATTATATCAATACTTGTTAAAAATATTTCTTGAAATGGCCCACCCTGCACAAATAGCTGTTAACAGTTACTGTTTTGCAAACCCGTTTTATTYCGCTAGTTTGTCTTATTTTGCCTTTATATGCGAGAGAGTGAACAAGTGAATAGTAGCGCTTGGAAAAAATAATAGAAACAAAACGTGTTTGTTAATATTTCTGCTTTTTAAAAGGTAAAAAATTTGTTTTTGATGCTTCTARTTGTGTTTTAAAATAATGTAAAATGAATTAAATTTATACTATAGGTTATTTTGTCATAAAAACTAATAAAATGGGCCGAGCCAAACACTGCACGGAAGAGGAGAAGAAT